TAAACAACATGGCTTCTTTATGTTACAGGAGGTTTACTAAGCACTCAAGAACCTCTAGTTGCTCTCGTCTATCTCCTCGCGCGACTCTTATGCTTCTTTCGTGCTTAGCAACCTCCTGCGTAGATCCATAGCTCAATAGTGTACAGGTACTTTGTGGTGTTTACAATTTGCTAATTGGGCTACAACTCCAATATCTTTTCCTTGCAGGATGGCAAGAGGTCAGCTCAGTTTGAACAGACCCTACTAGTGACTGAAACTGGATGTGACATTCTGACAATCAGACCTGATGACAATGGAAGACCTCATTTCCTGTCTCAGATGTAGAGCCTGAAGAAGACATACTGAACATACTGAACAAGCAGCAAATGCACAGCAACTGTGAATTAACGTACAGGAACATATCTTACGTAATAAGCTGAATAGTACATGGATTTTGATCGATTGTGATGATCTCACGAGGGACTGATGCATAAATGACCATTGCTATTTCAATCGAGTTTTTCATCTGTAGTAATCAACGTCAAATTTAAATGAACGATGTTATTAGTGGGGTCATTTTTTGTGGAAAAAATCATTTCAAGTCAACATAAAATTATATCGACAGTTTGTTAAGATACAGGCAATCAGTAACGGTTTGAAAACTAACTTGTAAGAGACTGTTTTTTCTATGTTTTCTCTTCAATAGGAAGTCCTGTTGATAACCATGGGAATCCCTTGTAGTTCTTGTTGGCAGAATAAGTGTCAGGGCGACATCGAGTTTTATAGGGGTGGGGTGGGTGTGTGGGGTGTGTCAATTAAGGGTGCATGTCATCTTTCTTAAACTTTTTACGCGAATTAATTACGTCTAAACTCCACGTGCTTCCTCTTGCAAACGATGTCACTGTAACATTGTTTTTGATGTTTTAGGATGAAGAATAGTTTTTTTGAGCGTTTTAAATGTTTAACATCCAACCTAAATTGACATGACAGAATGTCTACCAAGACAATCGATAGAATGTCAGTTTAAAAAATGGAAACTTCATGTAACGTACAGACCTTCCATGCCTTAGCTTGATCATCTACTAACCTTAATCAAAAGAGAACTGTATAGCTCCCAAGTATCGCCGTAAATAAATAAAGATTAGTATAATGCGACGTGGTCGTGTGGACCAAAGATGTGTAACAGACTAATAAAACTGACGAGCTCAAAATTTGTGTTGTTTCAAGTAATGTAGCCAAAAATCCTGTGATACTCTTCCAAGAGTGAAAATATATTTAAGCTGACTGTCTTCCTCGATCGTCATTTTTCTTCCGAATAATCTACGGGAGAGAAATGAACATATTTTCGCGTCAAATAGAGGCCACCAATCATATATATGTTTATATTCATAATCCAACAGATCTTTTTGCTCGCGCGCGATTGGTCAAAATGCATTACTTGACCAAATATTCTCAACTAAAATGGGGCGATATCCTAGGATATACCCCAAGTGATACTCCCTAGTTTCAAACCCTACGCCCAATATAGGAAACTCTGAGCATCAAGTTTAATTCAAGATGATAAACGTCGTGTGGTTGTTACAGAAGAGGGAATATGTTTTTCAGAGAACCCTGAAAAGTGAATACCCCACGCCGTAAACGGGAAGCTGTTAGTAAACATTTTTCACGCGCGTTGAAAATATTTGAAGAATATGAGCCTCCATCTGGCCCGAAAACATGCTCGTATATCTGTTCCTGGGCAATACCTGTTCCTCGAAGCTCACAGTTTTTCTCGAGCTTCGCTGAGTATACTGTACCCTCAACTAAATCATAAATTGAAGCAATTTTTTAATTAAACATTTTTTAACTTTATCAGGTCACTTAAAGTAGAGCAAGTTGTGCAAGTTTTTTTTAACTCTTTCAGTTTTGATGCCATCGATAAGCGTTGTGTACTTAGCACTGTTCCTGTTCTACTGCATCCTCGGAGACCCAGGGGCAGTGAGTCGATTTCAAGTTAAGGGCAGAAGAGCCCCTGGGGACATTGTCTTACAAGACTAGTTCCAAACGGTCGCAGTCGTTCTGGCATCTGATTGGTGCCAGAAAATCTTTGTGTTTTTCTGTCCAATCAGAGTGAAGTGTCGGTTGGAGTCCTTTCGTGTGTTTTAACACGCATGTATACAACAAGCTCTGTTGCACGCTATGTTTGTCTCGGCCGTGCGACGAAGCTTTGCCCGAGGTGAAAAGTTTCAGTCTCAGCACACAATGTAAGAGAAATCGATCAGATTGTCCGCGAAATCTTACCGGAAATTATACTGAATACTTTCGCAGGTATCACAAGAGAACGTGTTCAAAAGTTTGCGAGGTTCGTATAAAACATAATGGTTGCAGGCATTGATATGTCGCTTTAAACGTTAGATGAGATGTAAGCTTAAAGCTTTTAAGATTTTTTGTACNCCATCTTTCTTATTCTAATGTACACAAAATCATCCTCAGCTTGTCGAATGATCGAAGTTATACATACCTACACAAGCGCCTTGTCTGAAAGACATCAGAGGACAAAATGAGCTCCTTACATGACGAGCCTTATGTTCGACGGCGAATGACTTTTTTAACTTAAGGCCACCCATATCGTCCACAACGCTGATAAGGAAAAAATGAAGGAAATAAGCTTATTAACGTGTGCTTTCTCCTAACAGAGGTATTATCCCAAAATAGGTGTCCGGAGTACTGTCGCATCTCCTCAATACAATACAATACAATACAATACAATACTTTATTCAAGAGAAAGGAAAATAAAAATTGTAAAAGTATCTCTCGAAAGGGGATATTCTAGAGGTTAACCCTATATAAAAGATTCCCCGAATAAAAAGATCAAAACATTATATACAGATAATTAAAAACTGTTTACCATCATCTCAATCAATATTCATGTAAATCTTTAGTCTGTTACGAAATAAAGTCAATGATCCTGCGTGTACAATATCTTTAGGCAAATTATTCCACATATTAACGATCCGTACAAAAAAAGAAAATTTGTAGCAATTTACGATAGCTATTTTTACGTAGAGCTTATAATCGTGATTGGCTCTAGTTCGATTACATTTAGTAAGTTCAAAAAAGTCCGAAAAATGAAGACTATCTATTTCCAGAACTATCTTGTAGCACTGGATCAGAGATAAAAACTCTCTTCGTTTCTCCAAAGTTTGCCAATTCAGTAGGCGGCAGCGGTCTTCATAGCTCATTTCTCCGCGTTTTTGCTTTAATGCCAACCGAGATGCCCTTCTTTGGACTTTTTCCAAGGATTCGATATCCTTTTTTTGGTAGGGGCTCCAGACGGGGACAGCGTATTCGAGTATAGGTCTTACTAACGACTTAAAGAGGCAGGAAAACGCATAGCGATTATCGTTTCCAAGTGATCGCCTAATTATACCCAACACTTTGTTCGCCTTGTTTACTATGTAGGAAACGTGTTTACCCCAAGATAGATCGTAGTCATTAAGCTATCCTATCATTAAGCGTTGAACAATTTATTGTTAAATCCTCTACAATATCTTGTGGGTTTCTTTTTCTGATTTTGTGGTTTGTAGCTAGGCTGACCTTTTTCCAAAATTTCTCCTATCCCGCGTATTGGTTTAACTGAAGCTTCAACAAAATAATTCACTTTAACACGGTTGATTAACAAAATGGAGAAGAGTGAATTGACTTAGTTTCCTTCCCGAAACGGCACAGATATCGAAGAGTATATCTTGTAATTTAATCTGATTCCTCCACTTAATGTGGTTTCGGTGTGGCAAGATGGTGCTAATTGTCACGATGATCTTGAGAAAACTAGAACCGTTCTTAAATTGACACAATTAACCTCCTTCGGTTTCTTCAGGGTTTGGTTTTGTTCCAAGCATGAATACTTTAATAAAGTAAGTAGCAGTATAACTTACCACATGTAAAATTTCTCTCATCTGCAGATACTAGCAAAACAAGGCTGGAACCTAGAATTGTTATAGCCATTTTGAGTCTTCGCGCGTCCATGTTAGCCTAGCAAGCTTTTGAGGACCCGAAGTTTTCAAAATTAAAATATTATCTGTCATCTGGTCAATTTTGCTGTGTCAGGAATTATAAATGATTAATGACTTACGACATAAATTATTCTCATGAATTCAGTTTATCATTTATACGAAGAACCCCACCTGCAGGAGTCTTGTTAAGTACATCGTTAACTGAAAAGTATTTTCTTAAGAAGAAAAATAAAATATTCTTTATCGTTATCTTGGGTAGATATACCGTACAAGTATACTGGAAGGATGTAAAATTGCATGCGTGTGACACTGTGTGTTAAGCAAATCATAACTGTCAAATTTGTTTCAATCTACCTGAGAATCCTTATCTTCAAAAAATTATTCAGTAAAACAAGTTGTGCTACATATCAGGGTGAACCAATATCCTGCTTTGAAGAAAAGTAGAGGGTTGAAATATTTTGAACCACTTAACCCGCTTCGGTTTTTTTTATATCTGTCGGCGTATCGTTGAAAAATTCTTGTTAGACTCGATTGAAATGCTAATAAACCTCGGAGAAGGACTTCTGTGATATTTTCATAATGTCAAACTCCATCACAGATGTAATTAAATGTATTCAGAGCACAGCTTGTGTTGTTCGAGTCAGCTGTGGACTGAAGCAGCTGTACATAATCTGACGTTATAATCGACTTGTTAGTAGTTTCTATGATTTTACAATTCGGGATTGTTAGAGACACTTTAATAGCAGCTTTTTTTTTTTCATTTACAAATAAGGATGCTTCTCTTTTTTTGGATCTGTTCCCTACTATATCACTACTTAATTGTCGATGGCATGTGTAACATGTAATTGTATGGCACTGACATCAATGCAGGCACCGACCCCATCAACATCTCATCTTTCGTTAGAATTCGTTTTGGTTTTTTTGACAGTTAAGCTGCTACTTTGTTGATATTTTCTACAACACCATTTGAGTAACTTTATATCTGACACTGATATATATATATATATATATATATATAT